TGATGCATGGCACTCTCTCTAGGGTGACAGTGAGACTCCGTCTCAAAAAAAAAAAAAAAAGACCAAGAGTTTGAGGTTGCTGTGAGCAGTGACACTACAGCACTCTACCCAGGGAGACAGCTTGAGACTCTGTCTCAAAAAAAAGAAAGATTTAACGCCAATGCTTTCTGCAGCATAGCCTGTCAATAATGGAAACACTGAATAATATATCCTTTGCACCAGAATGTAAAATTCCACTGCCATACACTAACCTGAAATTTTTGATAGTACTTTCACTAACTTACCTGATTGAATTTTATGTGAATTAAACTTTTAAAAAAAAGAAACTTTTTTTAGGACATTACGTATATAACAATTCTGCCCTACAGAACTACACATTTTCTTTAAAAACTGGGATTGTGTGACATGGCACCTCACCACCACTAGGTGGGATCTAAAGTGCTATAGCTCAAGGATCTCAAAGACCATCAGTAATAACCCAGTGCGGACTGGAAAGACAAGCACGGGTCTCACTGCGCTACCGAGGATCAAACTGTTTTCTCAGTGATGTCAAAAATTTACTTTTAGAGATGGTGCCAAAGACAAGGGAAGACAAGCAAAGACTGAAGCACAAAATTAGAATCTAAGAGCGTTTTCACCCGAAAGGAGAAGGAAGAGATGATGATCTCAATCTTTTCCACCTTCCCAAAATCCTAATTCTTGTAGATTTTAGTGCTGAGCCAATGCTTTCTCCTGTCTCAATTCTTTGCATATGCATTCTTTTCACATGTATTAAACAAACAAAAACCCTTCACAAGCCAACCTGAGGGTTATTATCCCTCCGCCTCTTAATTTTCTAGAATGGGAAGCTGACTCTTGATAATATCAGTTTCTAATAAATTTGGGGATAAGTTTTTAAAAAAATAAAAATAAAGATGAAGAAACTACGGAGGGAGACCAAGACCTGCAAATCACCTGTAAAGGACCCCGGAGAGGCTCAAGAGAAGAAGTCTACAGGTATGTGTATAACAAAATAATCATCCCCTCTACAATGAATAATTTACAGTGCTTAACAGTGGGCTTTAGACCTGGCTCCATAAGAAAGGCGACTGATGTGGCAAAGATTCCTTAATTCAGTAAACAGAAAGGAATGAAGAGAGCAGCTATAAAGAATGGGTCAAATTATGGAAGCTGTGTTTAACCTAGAGAAGGGAAGCCTATTCAAACAGTAAATTACTGCGTAAAGGTTAAAGGCTTAGCAAAAGTTTCATAAAGAATTTCAGGTTAAAAACAAAGGAATCACTTGTTTCAGAGTCCTTCCCTAAGAAAGAAAGTTTCAGAAGAGAAGTCAGTTACCATGTTTTAAAATACAGGTATCAAACTGGACCCCTGGGAGGACTGGGCTAGACAGTCCCCTCTCAGAGGCCTCTCTAGGTCAGTGTTAGGATAAGACCACACACAACCACGTCCCTGCAGAGGGTCCTTACCCAGGCAAAACCTGTGTGGGGGTCACATCAGTAACATTTCTCCTTTAAGGGAAGAGGAACAGTGGGCTCCAGTATCACCACCCAGGAGATTTCAAAGTTACAGAAACTAAGAAGGAAGAAAGGAACTCAGAAAACAGACACACCACAGTGCCGAGCCTAACCCAAGAATAAACAGGAACTACTAAAGTTAATTTCAAGCTGTTTGCTTCTGTTTACATGATTAATCTTTCTAAGGTAAAAATCTCCTTAATCTTCTTTACTGATAATCTTTTAAAAAGTACAAACAACTTGTTCTGCACCTAAAAGGAAGCTCATGCAAAATTCAATAGCTCGGCCTGGTTTGGACTGGAGCTAGCAGGATATTCAAATCCTGAGAGGTCAGCTCAACCTACACAGTGCAGAATATTAGCTCAGCTTCTGAATGCTGCCCTGCCAATCTCTCTCCACTGCTGCTTTACTTCATTTCCTGGAGGCAGAGCCCACACCGAACAAGCACGGTGAATCTACTGTCCTCTGCCTCCCTCGGCCTGCACTCACTTCTGTCCAGCCAAGGCCCACACTGTCTTCCACTAACAGGTTGGAAACGTAGGGGGCAGAGCAGGGGTTTCTCCTGAAACTAGAAGTACCTTTCCAGTGTCCTCGCACAGCCTGTCCCCATCCACAGACAGAGCTTTGTCATGACTCAAACCAGGTCATCAAGTCATCCACTAAGTTTGACATACCTTTTGGAGGGATCTTTCTGAAGACACAGTGAAAGTAATTTTCTAAAGGACTTGCCGTACTTTTTCATCATTTCTTTATCCTCTACTCCAGTTTCTAAAGTGGGTGGATCATTTTGCAAAGTCAACATTAACACCTGCAGAGGAAACACAGGTGAGGACAGAAGGTCAGTACAGCAACTGCTACAATCGAGTTCTTAGTTTCTCACAAAAGCATCAAGGACGACTCTGATAAGATACAAATGTGTTTTCCCACGATTTTCACTTTCCAGAAATTGTGTTAAAAGTATCCATTTCCCTTCGCAAATCTGTTCCCGTACCCTGTAAGCTTTTTGTCCCACTGACAGAACTTAAAAATTTGCTCTCTGTATTAAGAATGATCCTAAAGTGACCCCGACAGAACCTTCTGGGAACTGGTTCTTACACTGCCTGGAGGAGCACGTAGCTCCAGCACTGGCTGGTTGGGAAAGTGGTGGCCGAGGGAGGGAAGGAGAGGGCCAGGAAAGTAGTGAATGTTCAAGCGCACACATCATTCATGAGTAAGGAACTGCCTGTACTCGGGGCTTGTGTAACACATTACTAGACCTAAAAATAAAACCACAACATCCCAGGAGGTAGCATGATTTCCTTTTTAAAAAAAAAAAAAAATGAGAAAGCATACAGAAAATGGTAAAAAAGAAAAAAAAAGGGCTTGGCAAAGTTAAGAAATTAATTCAGCAAGATGCTGAAAGACAGCCAGCAAAGAACTGAGTATAACTGAGATTAAAAGGCCATGCTGGCTTTTGGAAGGGAACAAAATAAAACGCAACTTTAAATCAAAAGGTTAAAAATTCCACTCTTTGGGAATTTAATTTTTTAAAGTCAAAATTATTTGCTTTAAACAATACAGAAGGTGCAGGAAATTAATGACCTAAAAATGAACACACTTCATGAATCAGCCTTCACTTACGCCAGTGATATACATGATGCTTTTCAAATACTTTGAGAAGTATGAGTGGATAACAGATGAAAGTGGCAGTTTATTATCTGTGGAGGGTAATAGCTGACGGGGGACATGGGGGACTGTGAATCCAAAGAACTAGAACTTGAGTCTGGGGTTGGCAGGCCTGACTCTGGATTCAGCAGGGAAACTCTGAGGGGTGGGAAAAGGAAGAAGACAAGAAATAAGAAAAACTGCATAGCAGAAAAAGTTCTCAGAGTTACATCTGAGCTTTTTCTCCAAAAGGTGACTTCAGTTGTTTACACTTCAACTGTAAACCGTTCTGCTAGCAAAATCAAACATGTATACACAGACACCCAAACACACACATACATGCACATGTTGATGGCACATGCACACACATATACTAAAATGCTGACTGTGTTAAAAATATGCATTTAGGCTCAGCGCCTGTGGCTCAAGTGGCTAAGGTGCCAGCCACATACACCTAAGCTGGCGGGTTCAAATCCAGCCTGGGCCCGCCAAACAACAATCATGGCTGCAACCAAAAAATAGCTAGGCGTTGTGGCGGGTGCCTGTGGTCCCAGCTACTTGGGAGGCGGAGGCAGGAGACT